AAAAAAAAAAAAATAATGCAGTCATGATGACAAAGTTAAGATATCTGTACATGGATAGCTCTACAATGTACATATGCAGTCTATATCTTTCACAGGTGAGTTATTTTGCCACATGTTCCTGCCTGAATGACCGTCAAAAGTATCCATCCTTCTTTAGAACGATCCCAAGTGATACTTTCCAGGTGAAAATTTGTCATCAAAATTAAAATGGAAAAACAAAAATCTGTTTCAATATCTGTGTAAAAGAAGAACACAGACAGATATGAAAATATTAAAAATAATAATATAATTAGTTTTGAGAATTATGCTCTATTTCGTTTCTGTATTGTCTCAGAGAATAAAGCTAAATTGCAATTATATTTAAATGCTGTTCTGTGGACACTGACAGACAGATAATGCACAGAAATTTTGTTTTGTTTCTTTTTTTCAATGCACTTACACTTTAATCTGTATTCACTTAGGTACGTGCAATGAACCAGATTCTAAAGCATTTTGGCTGGACTTGGGCAGGTCTGCTGATCAGTAATAATGATTATGGACTTCATGCAGCCAGATCCTTTCAGTTTGAGCTGAGTGTGTCTGGTGAAGGTTGCCTGGCCTACACTGAGGTTTTACCCTGGGACAAAGACACAGATGAACTTCGGAGGATTGTTGATGTGATGAAAACCTCTACAGCTCGAGTTGTCATTGTCTTTGAAGATCCTAGTCGCATGATGCACCTTATGGATGAGGTTTCGCTTTAAAACACTTTAATAATTACTAGTTACAGAGGTCTTCATAATTATAGTTCATAATTGTGTAAAACACATATCATTGTCAGTACAGAAATGAATACAGAAAAATAATCATTCAGAATTAATTTTAAAGATCAAAAACTGTTTCAGTAAAGAAGTTGGAGGTTCAATATTACTTCATAGATTTGGTCTAATCTAATTCCCAGGTAGTAAGGCAAAATGTGACAGGCCTTCAGTGGATAGCCAGTGAAGCCTGGACAGAATCTGCTGTGCTCCAAACACCTCACTTTATGCCATACCTGGGTGGTACACTGGGTATCACCATTCATCGAGGAGAAATACCAGGGCTCAGGGAATTCCTGTTAAAAATACATCCTGATCTACATCACAACAGTAGCTACGGAATTAGCTTGGTGAGACTTGGACACTTTTACTATGTGTGTGTGTGTCACAACAATTATATATTTTCATAATGTGTAACAAACATTTTTCAAAATATTTCAGGTGAATCAGTTTTGGGAATTTACATTTCAGTGCAGATTTGCTCCAGCTCCAGCAGGCTGGCTGGAAGGTGGAGGTGCACTATGCACTGGACAGGAAGATCTAGGAAATGTGGACAATGAGTACTTGGACATTTCCAACCTGCGGCCTGAGTATAATGTGTACAAAGCTGTTTATGCACTGGCGTATTCCCTTGATGACATGCTGCGGTGCAAGCCAGGAAGAGGGCCTTTCAGTGGGAACAGCTGTGCCTCTTTGCAATCACTGGAGCCTTGGCAGGTGTGGTATCATTGTACACTCCACCTTTGGATAAATTGTTTTTGCATGTTTTCAGAACTTCATTAACTTCAGGTCATTAACTTTTATACAGGATTATTAGTAATGTGTCTTGGTTGATTGAGACTTAGATAAAAATGACTTTATATATGTAGGTACCATAGATATAATATTATATTACTGAACTGAAAAATTGCATCTGTTTGCACTGTAAAGTTACTGGAGCCATGGCAGATGTGATATCATTTTACACACCATCTATGAATAAATCATTCGTTCTATAATTAGTTTCGGAGCAAAAAGTAATTTACTTATTATACATTCCTTTTAAACAGCTTGTTTATTACATGGAAAGAGTGAACTTTACCACTCCATTTGGCGATCAAGTGTCATTTGATAAGAATGGTGATGTAGTACCAATTTATGATGTTATTAACACGTTGTGGCTCCCTGATGGAAGCACTAAAATTCAGAAAGTGGGTGAGGTTAAAAGGTCAGCTTTAAAAGGTGAAGAACTCACACTTGATGAAGGCAAAATCTTCTGGAACTTTGAATCCAACCAGGTTAGATATGTTTTTATTTGACAAATACCTTTTATGACATTTACAGTATATAGAATTGTAGCAGGTTATAAATATTTATTTTTTTATGTCCAATAGCCACCTCGATCAGTATGCAGTGAGAGTTGTCCTCCTGGTACCCACATGGTGAGAAGGAAGGGAGAGCCCAAATGCTGTTTTGACTGCATCCCTTGTTCTGAGGGAAAGATCACTAACAAGAGCAGTAGGTCTTTGTCTTTCTGTATGACACATTTGATTTAATTTCTGTGAAATATAAGATGCATTTAAACATCAACCCCTTTTTGTCAGACTCCTTGGAGTGCACCAGTTGTCCAGAGGATTTTTGGTCAAACCCACAGCGTGACCACTGTGTTCTTAGGAAAACAGAGTTTCTCTCCTATCATGACCCTTTGGGTATTTGTTTGACAGCAATCTCCTTACTGGGAACATTTATATGTGCTGTTGTTCTGGGGATCTTTATCTGCCATCGCAGAACACCTATAGTACGTGCCAGCAATTCAGAACTTAGTTTCCAGCTATTAGTGTCACTTAAGTTGTGTTTCCTGTGTTCACTTTTGTTCATCGGACGACCCAGGATGTGGACATGCCAAATGAGGCATGCAGCATTTGGCATCAGCTTTGTGCTTTGTGTCTCATGCATTCTGGTAAAAACCATGGTTGTTCTGGCTGTGTTCAAAGCCTCCAAGCCAGGAGGGGGAGCCAGTCTGAAGTGGTTTGGTGCTATGCAGCAGAGAGGAACAGTTCTGTTTCTTACATCTATTCAGGCAGCCATCTGTACTACCTGGCTTGTCTCTTCCTCTCCAACTCCACATAAGAACACCCAATACCACAATGACAAGATAGTGTATGAGTGTGCAGTTGGGTCCACTGTTGGTTTTGCAGTGTTATTGGGTTATATTGGCATACTGGCTGTCCTCAGTTTTTTAATTGCATTTCTGGTGAGGAATCTCCCTGATAGTTTTAATGAGGCCAAGTTCATCACATTCAGCATGCTGATCTTCTGTGCTGTGTGGGTGGCCTTTGTTCCTGCTTATATCAGCTCACCAGGAAATCTTGCAGATGCAGTGGAGGTATTTGCCATTCTTGCTTCAAGTTTTGGACTCTTGATCACGCTGTTTGGACCGAAATGTTACATAATCCTGTTGAGACCAGAGATGAACACAAAGAAGGCTGTTATGGGCCGTGGGATTGTGTCATAAAATGTTTTTATTTATGTTAAAAACATCTTTATTTTCTGTGCAGTAAATCAGAAAATAAAATATATTAATAAAAATAATAAATGTAAATATTAAAAACCTCTTGAGAAATCTAAATGATAGTTATTTACTCTTTTTCCTCTTTTCTTACTTTTAAATAAATCTTTTCAAATATAACTGACTGACTGTGTTACACTTCATTGTCAAAATTGATCTATCATGTAAGTTAAATGTAATTATAATTCTTTTAATAAACTAAGCTTTAATTTTGTGCTTCAGCCATTTTTGTGGTATATGATGTAAAACACAGTAGCACATGAAGCATTGTGCAAGGAAGTTCTGTACAGATGTCTTCCAGGTTTACACACCATCTTCTTTGGTAATATTGCTTACTGGGATCCTTACAGTAATATGAATGGATGTTTTAATGATTATGTTAGGCTCTTGTGAATTAGACATGAAGTTTAAATAATTCTCTGAATGATATTATGGCAAATTGGAGTACTGAGAGTATGAAATAATGAATTCTCTAAACACAGACACACATTTACAAAAAGAGACCTGTAGCTATGTTTGTGAAGCTGCAAATACTGATGGTAATGGGTAAAAAGGAAATTCAACCTGTGGAGTATCTTTTGTTTCCACAATCTGTACATTTTACTAGAGGGTTCGTCAGCTTCATATTTTGCCTTCCCAGAGAGATCATATAGAATCCTACACCTTTTTTTTACTTTTTACTTTTTAGCATCTCTTAAAACGTGAATTGTGTTTGATCTTTACCAAGAAATTGAATTACAGTGAGTTACAATTTAAAAAAGAGCCATCTCATGGTAGTTCATATTGTAAGGTCAAAAATTAAATTAATTAATTTTTATACCATATAAAAGCATAGAAGTAGTTCCTTAAAAATTATTTTAAAACACATTTATTAATTAATGTCAGATGCAGCAATATTATATTAAAACTGTAAACCGTTTTCACATTGACACGATAAGTTAATATGGGTGGTGTTTTGTTTTCGTCGAAGGTTTGTCTATAAAACTACAGTCACATGGTATATACATTTGCAATAATATATTAAAACTTTGCATGATCATTCTTAGTTCTGGATAAAGTGAATCAAGGTTTTTCTATTAATTTAACAACAAACAAAGATAAATACATAAAGATGAAGTGATGATATAGATAAACAGATAAATAATAATTATTTGTCATATTTTGTTAATTTACTTTTGCTACCTGGCCATCATATATTTCTTGGTGTTTCTCTCAGGCCTCAAAAGAATGATGAAACACTTCGGAGCAAAAATACAGAAAAGTAAACCATAGCTAGAAGCCAGGATGGCAAAAACTTCCACAGCAACAGTGTATTTACCAGGAGAGCTAAGGTAAGCAGGCACAAAAGCCACCCAAACAGCACAGAAAATCAGCATACTGAAAGTGATAAGTTTGGCCTCATTGAAATTATCAGGAAGTTTCCTAGCAAAAAAGGCTAATATGAGACTGGTGCAGGCCAGCAGGCCAATGTAGCCCAAAATCAGACAAAATCCCACCACAGAAACCATGGCACACTCCAGAGTGACCTTTGAACCTTGAAAACCCAGATCTTGTCGAGGCACGGGGGGGATGAGGGATAGCCATATGGTACAGATGATAATCTATATGAAAAATAAAATGTTTTTAGACAGATGTAAAAATACAAAGACTTAAAAATTCAAAACAGAACATCTGTATGACCTGTATGCATGTAAGAAGGCAGATACTTCCTCTCTGTTGGCCTGGACCAAACCATCTAATCAAGGCTTCAGCACCAGGCCGAGCTGAGCGAAATGCTGCCAGAACCACAATGGTCTTGACTTTCAGGCAGGACACACAAAGCACAAAGCTGATCCCAAAAGCTGCCTGCTGGAACCGACAAGACCAGACTGATGGACGACCAATGAACACGAGCGAGCACAGGAAGCAGAGCTTGATTGACACAAGAAGCAGGAAACTCAGCTCTGAATTGTTAGCCCTCACCTAAAATTAATAAAGTGCAGCTTTATAAAAGTAGTGACACAGATAATATCAGCCATATGTGGAATAATTCTGTTGTTTTAATATTTTGTCAATTATTGAATCTTGAAGAAAAAACTGACATGAGATGTCAAATAAAACCTAACAACAAAAAAACTGCACTTGCCAACTGCACACGATGTTTTCTTTAAAATGTACATTATAATTTTGTGAACATTTCTTTCTCACCACAGGTGTGTGACGGTAGTGAAGGAAAACCACAAAGACAACTGTTGTCACAGTGACACCGGTCACAGCTGCTGTAGTAAGAGTAATTCCCAAAGTCTCATTAAAGGCAAGAAAGTCAAGCTGGCGAGGGATGCAGGCAGTACGTTTAGCATTAGACCAGAGCTCTAGGGGACAACGCTCACAGTCAAGGGAACCTAACAGTAAAAAGAGTGGAGAAGGAAAGAAGAAGAGAAAGGAAAATCAAACAAGAACAACAGAAGTACATGACTTTAAATCAAATGGATTTACAAGGAGGGGTTTAGATTGTAATTCCATTACCAGTTTTATTGCTTATCTCTCCTGCAGCACATGGAATACAGTCAAAGCAGCAGAGAGGTTTTCCTTTCCTGCTGACCTTTCTGGTCCCTGGGGGGCAGATCTCACTGCACACCGAAATAGGCACCTAAATAATAAGCCAACACTTATTTTTAAGCACAATATGTGTATTCTAGTTAAGAGCAAGAAATGCACAAATTACAGTTTACATTATTTTCATATAAAATACCCGATTAAATCCTGTGATCCACTGAATAGCTGATTCATTAAGATGGAGAGCAAACCCATCCACTTGACCAATCAAAGCAATTTTTAGTGTCCCATCAGGCATTTTCTGCCAGTTAACAAGGTCATACTTTGCTGGAATATCGGCTCCTTGAAAGTAAAATGTTTCATCTTGTGGTGTGGTGAAGTTCACTTCTTGCAAGTGCTGCAAAAGCTGTAAAATTATAACAATCGTGAAACTAGAGTTATTAGAGTTCAATGATAAGTGCAATACTGAAACATATGAAAATGTTGTAATTACAGCATTGTGGGTACTCATGGGTCGGACCAAAACCCTGTTCAGTGTCTAAAGAATGCAACATGGATTTTTATTAAATTTTTTAGGGAAAGGATGATATTCATGATTACTTTACCTCAGTGGCCTTGATTTGTTTTGGAGAGGAGCAGGTGGAGATGTTGTTTTCAGAAGGGCTGTCTTTAATGGGGCAGAGAAGGCTGTGGAGGGCATGAGCTGCAGCATAAACAGCAAGGTAGACATTATATGTCACCCTTAGCTGGGATGCATCTGTAAAGAGATTCTGCACTTTTTTCAGAGACTCCGACCCATTGCAATGTGATAGTGAAGCTTTCTGATCAGACATAACAGGAGGATTTGAAGTTAAAATATTTGATTTATGGTTAGACTTTAGCGTGGAGACAGGAGAACTGGGCATTGAGGAGGAAGATAAATGAAGACTACACCCAAACTCCACTTCCCAGAATTCTCTTAAGAACTCATCATCTGGATGGTGAATTGGGTGTAAACGTCGGAGATAACTTTCAAATCCAGGTATAGCTGAACTTCTAGTGGCAACACCAAGAACACCGTTTGCCACTTTGCTTGTAACTGAATTTTGGACCAGATCCCCACTAGTGCTCCAAGCCTCACTGGCCAAAAACTGTCTATCAGTCACCTAATAAGCAAAAGGAAAATTATTTTAAAGTTTATTTTGTTTTTAAATATAATCTCTAACTTTTTTTCAACATGCATTATATGCGATAGGCATTACAGCTTCTCACATTCAGTTTCGCAAGTTGCAGGAACAATTCCCTCACATCTGTATACCAGGTGAAGATCAAAATCACCCTTGCAGTTGAAGCTTGAATTGTGAGGGCTGCTCGTCTGGCATCACTAATGATATTTTCCCTTTGGAGAGTCTCTACAAATGCCAGGCAGACACCTGCTCCCTGAATCTCCTCCTGAAATACCTGACATATACAGGTGAAAGAAGCCTATTACTTTATCACATTGTAAATGTAGTTATATAATGTACTTATTACTGTATATTTTAGAGATATGGCTGAGTAGTCTAAATGACTGAAATAAAAGATGCAAATACCTTTACTGCCATGTAGCCATAGTTATTGTTTGCTACAACTGCTCCAACCCAAGTCCAGTTGAAGCGTATAACAAGCTGGGCAACGGCACGTGCTTGGTAAATATCACTGGGGATTGTTCTGAAGAAATTTGGATACTGGAGCCTGTCACTGAGACAAGGACAGGTGGATAGATAGCTGATCTGAAAGACACATACACACACACACAAACATAAAAACCTGCATCTTATAAAGTTTTTGTTTCTGTTTAAAAAAAAATCAGTTTCTCCACTGTCATAAAAAAGCATGAATATTTCTTTTGAGTAAAAGATATAAATTCAAGTAAAAGATGGCTCCACTTATCTAAAGACAAACAAAAAAGCTCATATACAGTTTTTATGGTGCATTCAAAACAAAACTCACGAAAGGTATGGAGAGTGGCCCCAGCACTGTGGAGAGTATTTGGCTTGTTATGGATGAAGCACCACCAATAATCATGGGGACAGATTGACCACCTGAAAAATAGAAATTATTGATTTAATTAAACAACATCTTGTAGCAGGAGTAGAAAAAGTAGAAAGCAAAATTGCTGACAGACTTTTTGTATGTTTTCTGATCAATGAATGAGTTACCCCTCCTGTCTTTAATTTCTTCTCCATGCCCACTAGAATAATCTGGAGGGTTTGTAGAGTTGCAGCTGGTGTTGTCTCCACCAACGAGTGACAGTGCTGACTGGAGAGCCCATGGTGGGCGCCCACAGCTGTCAAAAATATGATAGCCCAGCTTGATTCCTTGTAGGAGCATTGTACTATGATTGATTTCCTCCAGTGCAAACACCATAGCATATATGTACTGCAGTGGAACATATTCTAAACTGAGAGGGGGGAGATAAAATGATAAAATATAAATTAGTGAATTTTGTTTGAATAATTTCTGTAAAACTGCAAGTACAAATCAACCAGCAAAACACAGTAATTACTCTTATGTTATGTCTATATATGCTCTCATTCTACAGTAATCAAAATATTCTCTGTAACGTAGAGTTTTACCCAGTACATGGATTGTAGCGTGGCAGCTTAGTGAAGTCATGGTCTATAACTGGAGGCTGATAATGAAGAGGAAAAAGACCACCAATAATTACATCTCCATCTTGAAAGAGACCCTGGCTACTTGGTGTACCCCAACGAGAACATGTCAACATCTGATCACACAGAAGTCCATCCCGGATTCCCAGTTCTCTTCCCACAAGCCACACAAGCAGCAAAGATTGGGATGACCTGGACCACACAATGAAGAGCCAGGAAAACCAAGACATAGATGCAGCTGTTCTAGACATTTAGAAATGTACAGTACACTCAATTTGGTTTATTTTCATGAGTTCAATCAGTGTCCATAAACAGTTCCTAGAATGAAACTATCAGATTAGACTAAAGCCCCAAATATAACAAACTGTACAATTTAAAAATGTGTATTTTCATACACCAGCTATAACATCAGTTGGCTGCTGACATCCATCCTCCTCCTTGGAGTGGATGAACTGCAGATGAGGGCACTTTATATAGAGGCAGGGCCTTTTGGTGAGCAGGTGAACATGACGACACATATACTCCCAAATCAGTCCTCTCAAGACGTGACACGACAGTACGAGTGATCATTATGCCTTGCAGATAGAAGATGTGGAGTTAGGATGTGTATGTAGGTGTGGTATATATAGTATTTGGTCATCTTTTAAAATTATCTCTTTATTACTTCTGTAGTGATCATGTATTATTTTCATATTTGGACTGAAAAGCTTCCCCTGAAATACTATAGTTCCCAATTGCTTTAATGGAGGTATCAAGAGATAAAATATATGAGTACAAATGCACATTTCATGCAAAATAATCAAATGCTTAAGGATGTTTAAGTCATTAAGAGTCACAACTTTATTCCATAAATACATAAGAATGTTAATTTAACTTCATGGCTTTGAAAAACTGTTCCAGCTAAAACCCTTACATTGTGAATGTAGAGGTCCAACCACCTTTAACAACCTCATTTAACTTAGTATGCTCCTTTATCATTTATTGTAATCTGTGATCAACGCAAAGTTATGTGGATATTTACCAACCTTACTGATTGCCACATATTGATTAAATGATGACAAATCAGGGACAAGACTAGTGAATTGACAAAATATTAGCCAAGGTGAAGATCAATTTAACTTTGAATTACAAATAATGCAGATAATGGATACAAAAAGGCTGTTCATTCTGTAATTTTGTTTTTTTTGTTTTTGTTATTTATGTATTTGTTCTTTACAAAATGGAGATATCATTAACACTGATAGCTAAAGGACTATTGATACAATTTTTTTGTACACACACTAACATTGTCATGGTCCTGGGTTATCTGACCCAGCGTTTTGTGTTTTCTATTATTGTTTATTCTAGTTGTGATTTCTAGCTCGTTCGGTTCGGTTCGGTTCCTCCTCAGTTTAGTGTTAGTCATCCCTGCCTGTGTGTTTCCTCTGTATAAAGTCTGTGTTTCTTTGTATGTGTGAGTTCCTGTTTTATTTTGAAGGTCAGTGTCTCAGGTTATTGTATTCTGTTTTACTTCTCTTAGTGTCCTCAGCTCCAATTTTCCCCAGCTGTGTCTCCTCCTGTTTCTCATTCCCTGATTGCAAAGTTTCAGTCTGTTAGAGAAGTGTTTCTTTCTCAATCCCTCAAGCGCCACTGTGGGACTGTCTGCTGCATAGAACCAACTGGACGGCCTGTGTCTGTCAGACCCCAACACAAAGCCCCACCCCAGCTTTTAACTCTGCACTCAGGCTACATCCACACGTACACGGGTATTTTTGATAACCGAGATTTTCCATTTGAGTTTTAAAAAAAATCCCATCCACACGTGCAGTTTTGAAAAAATATCTTCGTCCACATGTAAACGCTAAAAACATAATGTTGGCCAATCAGAAGTATAGAAGCCTGGGAGGTAGTGGTGAGCAGATCGATCCAAATATCGATTCTATTGATACCAAGTCGGCATCGGTATTGGATCAATACTACCCTGGTGAGATTGATTCTTTAAGTTCCGTTGTTGTTTGCAATGCTGGGCTTTCGACAAAGACAAAACAGCCAGGTCGCTGGACTCGATGCTCCTGTGTCGTCTGATTTGCTCCTGTGTCAGCGCAGAGCTGACACAGGAGCAAATCAGACGAATCAAACAAATCAGATGTTTGATTTGTTTGATTTGATTTATGTTGCGCTGTCACGTGATGTGACTTGACACTTTAGGGGGTTGTTAAGTTGTTTACATATTATATTTTATTATATTACATATTATATTTTCACCAGCTGTTTCTGTTGTTGAGAATTTTATTGTCATTTTTGTATTATAGTTTCTCAGCAGTACTTATTTGTTTTAATTTGTTTACTGGTTTGTGTCCACTTCAAGATTTTTCTAAAATAAAAAATAAATAAATAAAAAAATTGATAAAAATTGATCACCACCACGGCAGACCCGATGCTATTTTCATGCTTCGCAGCATTATTTATTCTTACAATAATCACAGTGTCTGTAACAGCACATTCAATGGATGCAGCTCTCCCACTGCCAGCTGTACACGTCACCAACAAAAACAACAATACAAGCAGTGCACAGGTTTTAAGATAGTGAGGCATGATTGTAGATGCCATGCAGGTGAGTCCATCTCACCTGCATGGCATCGCAGGCCACGCCCGCCACAATAATAAAGCATTTTTTATTTAATTATAAACTTTGTTCTAATTATGTCTTGGGCTTTAACTATTTATTGATAAAAAAGGAAAAATCACAAAAAACACTTAAGGTCATAAAAATTAATTGAGATTTAGCAATTCAAAGACGATTCCACCTTATTTATTGAAAAGTATAGGTATTGGTATCGGTAGTACTGGCCCGTATTTACTTGGTATCAGATCAATACCAAAATATGCAGTATCGCACACCACTACTGGGAGGGAAAGGATAAACAGGTTTTTGTACCCTCACCAAACCTTACGTACTTCTGTGAAGTTTCTGTTTTTTTCTGGAAAGGCAGATAATTTTGTCTTGGTTTTTTAGTGCCATTTTCCAGTGCCTTCCTCATTTCAATTGTTATTTTGGCTCTTATGTAGAATTAAAACTTAAGAATGAACAAAAAGCATACAGCATACATAAATTTAATTTAAAAAATCTTTTATTTATTCAAAACCCGATGTTGGGATTTGAATTGTGAGACCCACCCAGGGTCCGGGGCGGGTTTGGGGGCTTTGGGTTCTGGGGGCGCTCAGCCTCCAGTTATGGGATCTGGCCAGGCCTTGGGGGCTTGAGTCCTGATTGGTGTGTCTCTGGGGTTGTTGCGGGGTGCATGCACGGGGGGGGCACCTCTGGCACGGGGTGCCTCTTCAGCTTGCAGGAAGGTTGTTACATCCTTGCAGGAGGTCTCTGCTCTGCTGCTGCAGGATCCCAGACCCTTAAGTAGAGTTCTCCTGATGAAGCCATCAGCTGCAACTGAAGATAACTGACGAGCAGCAGGTGTGGCATCCCACACACACGTCACGCTCCTCTTCAATAGCTCCACATTCCTCTTGAGACACTCACACTCTCGTTCCACACACACCTCGCCACTCAGCCACTTGCAGGTAATCCAAGGACAGGAAACGGGAACAGGTCCAGGAGTATCTATAAACAGGAGAACACGATCAGAAAACAAGCTAGAGATTCACATGGGGGAAAACGGGTTTGCCAAGGTTGCACTAACACAGGTTACTCAATGATCCAGCGATGAGAAGCACTGAACCTCCATCTTAAATAATGGTAATCAGGCAGATTAGCGGCAGGAGAGTAATCAGGCCATTAAAGTTGAGCCCGAGATGAGCTCCACCCAGGCAGACAGAGGAGACCAGGAGTCAGTCAGAGAGGCACGAAGATCATGACACAAATGTTGCTCATAATAAAGCCTGCATGCATGTAAGTGTTCTGTCTCTCCAGATGCCAATTTACATTTGAAATGTGAGTCAATTTTTTATTTACAGAAATTTCATAAAACAGTATGGAACACTGAAATCCCATCTGTACTCCGATCTTATTAATCTTTTCTGTATAACAATTTATTTTTTAACTGCATACTGCATATCTCAATAGACTAAAGACATTTAAAATTCTTATTTCTCAACATTAATGAAACATTTGTTCCACTACAAAATAAAAACAACACAACATTGGACTTCTTTTATAATGGTGTTTTTATTTTATGAATGTGTTTGTTACCTAAGCAATTTTTGTAAAATAGGTGCAGTGCAGATTTTTTTCAAAAGAGTAAAATAAAATAAAAAAATTAAGAAATTTGTCAGTTTGTTTTCTTTGACAGCCTGACATATTTTATCAATTCATGTCTGAGTGAATATTTCTGATTTCATATAGCTTAGTAAACACTGACAATAGCTAGCTCAGGGGTGGGCAATCTCAGTCCACGAGGGCCGGTGTCCCTGCAGGTTTTAGATGTGTCCTCGAACCAACACAGCTGATTTAAATGGCTAAACTAGCTCCTCAACATCTCCTGAAGTTCTCCAGAGGCCTGGTAACAAACTAATTATGTGATTCAGGTGTGTTGACCCAAGGTGAGATCTAAAACCTGCAGGGACACCGGCCCTCATGGACTGAGATTGCCCACCCCTGAGCTAGCAGATAGTGATGCAAATGCAGCTCTGTCATAAAGTTTTAGGATATGTCACAATTTAATAAGACAATAAACAATCATATTTTTTAAATGATATATTACCAGATAAATAAAATGACTGTATTCCAGCTGTTAACATTTTTAAAAAGGTGAATTACAGTGGCAATGGTTACATTTGCTTTCCTATCTACCCATCAAATGTTTTTTAGTGTTTTTCTCAGGCCTCAAAAGAATGATGAAGCACTTTGGAGCAAATATGCAGAACAGCAAACCATAGCTAGAGGCAAGGATGGCAAAAATCTCAACAGCAACAGCATATTTTCCAGGAGAACTGACATAGGCAGGAACAAAAGCCACCCAAACAGCACAGAAAATCAGCATGCTGAAGGTGATCAGTTTGGCCTCGTTAAAGTTGTCTGGAAGTTTTCTGGCAAGAAAAGCCAAGAGGAAACTGGTGCAGCCCAGTAGTCCAATGTAGCCCAATACCAGAGAGAAACCCACCACAGAGGCAGTGGCACACTTCA